TTCTATTTCGACTTGAATTCAGACTAACTTTAGTTCAATGGTTTCAGTTTCATTACAGATATTATCATCCACCGTGGGATGTGTGTGTGTGTGTGTGTGTGTGCGTTTTAGTTAATAAGTACGTGCGTCTTAGTTTAGGATCTTTAACCTCTTGCCGTACTTTATTGAGTCTAACTTTTAATAAAGATTTCTGTTAAGTATTATTACTTTCTTTCAACTTCGTCTAAATTTCTCTTCTTCTCACCACGATATTTAATTGTTCAAGAAATATNAATTTCTAGTTATTATATATGTAAAGGAAATAGTACGGCAAGGGGTTAAGTTCCCTCAGGGGCCCCCGACCCACGGGAGCGCTCGTGGGGGGCACGGGGGGTAGCGTCCCCGAGATACCCGAGTCGCTAATTTCGCATATGTCCAGTATTATTGCCTTAGTTTTACTGTTTCGCGTTTCGTTCTTGCTCCGCCACAGCAGAAAGCTGTGGTGGCCTTGCTTGCGCATACTCTTGGGTAAGTCCGGACACATCTCGATGTTCGACGAGTGACCATGCGGCGTGGTGATTCGAACGCGGACCCTCCTTCTGGGGAGGTTCTCGCTTGGCAATTCGCTATGTAAGCCGTCCTTAGCTCTCTCTTGGGGGCGGGGCGCAGGGCGAGAAATCCGACCCATTGTGGGATGATCCAACTTTGGATCATCATTCCTCATGTGATCGCGCCGGTCATCGTGATGTGCGAGGCTCCAGACTTGTGCGAGCATTGTACGCGTCGCGTCACCCTCGTGTCAGTGCCTTCTGCACTGACTCGCACTTGTTTCTCACTTTGAAAGAATCACTGCCTTCTGCACTGATTCATTTTGGTCCCCGTGAATCAGAGACTTCTTCTTTGATCCACTTTGATCCGCAATAGTACTTGACATATGCGAACGAGTGAGTGTGTGGGTGTGTGCTAGCTAGCTGGCGAGCGTGTGTGTTAGTTTATAAGTCGTCGTTGTTAGAAAGGGAGCCATAGCGAATTCCGGCTTCGTTCTGACTCCCTTTCGGGTCTCTAAAGCAGCAACCTCCTCGCGGTGAGACTCGGGCAATCGGTATCATCCTCGGTTCAGAAAATCTTGCGAATTGCAATTAATTTCTGGGTCGAGGATGATACCGAGCAAATAGCTGCAAACTATATATTGTAACAAAGTGTGCATTGTAAAAGTGTGTGAATAAATTGGAGCTCTAAATAATGTTTCGTTCGAAAATATTGAAATTAGTATTCCTCCGATTGGAGGTCCCTCAGGGGCTCGCTCATGGGTGGGGCCCGTGGGCGAGTACGGGGGGTAGCGTCCCCGAGGTACCCGAGGCGCTTGTAGGTTGTTAAGATTCTTAATTTAAGTTTTCTGAATTTCTCCATTTTCACAATATTTGCACTCGTGTGCGGGTTAGCTTGGCACTCGTGTGCTGGTCTTAGGTTTCCTAATTCGACTTGTCACCTATTTTATATTCATACTAACTAGAATTCAATCTTTTCAGGTTCATTACAGATATTATCATCCGCCGTGGGATTTTCATCCGCCGTGGGATTATCATCCGCCAAGGGATTCGTCTTAGTTATTAAGTGCGTGCGAGTTAGTTGATATGTCTGTGTATGGCTTAGTTCAAGATTCTTAACCTCTTGCCGTACTTTAACGGGACTAGCTTTGAATAAAGATTTTTCTTAAGAATGAACATTATTTTATTCTTTCAATTTCGTCTAAATTTCTCTTGTTTTCACTACAATATTTACTTGTTCAATGAAACGTAGGCTCACAATAATTAGAAATTTTGTTCTCCTTCTGAGAAATTATTACAATCGGGAAAATTCCAGTCATAATAAATTTAGAGAGAATGGTACGGCAAGGGGTTAAGTTCCCTCAGGGGCTCCCGACCCACGGGAGCGCTCGTGGGGGGCACGGGGGGTAGCGTCCCTGAGGTACCCGAGTCGCTAATTTCGCATATGTCCAGTAGTATTGCCTTAGCTTTACTTTTTCGCGACTCGTTTTTGATTCCGCCACAGCAGAAAGCTGTGGTGGCCTTGCTTGCGCATACTCTTGGGTAAGTCCGGACACATCTCGATGTTCGACGAGTGACCATGCGGCGTGGTGATTCGAGCGCGGACCCTCCTTCTGGGGAGGTTCTCGCTTGGCAATTCGCTATGTAAGCCGTCCTTAGCTCTCTCTTGGGGGCGGGGCGCAGGGCGAGAAATCCGACCCATTGTGGGATGATCCAACTTTGGATCATCATTCCTCATGTGAAAACGGCGAGCATCGAGATCTGCGCGGCTCCAGACTTGTGCGAGCATTGTACGCGTCGCGTCACCCTCGTGTCAGTGCCTTCTGCACTGACTCGCACTTGTTTCTCACTTTGAAAGAATCTCTGCCTTCTGCACTGATTCATTTTGGTCCCCGTGAATCAGAGACTTCTTCTTTGATCCACTTTGATCCGCAATAGTACTTGACATATGCGAACGAGTGAGTGTGTGGGTGTGTGCTAGCTAGCTGGCGAGCGTGTGTGTTAGTTTATAAGTCGTCGTTGTTAGAAAGGGAGCCATAGCGAATTCCGGCTTCGTTCTGGCTCCCTTTCGGGTCTCTAAAGCAGCAACCTCCTCGCGGTGAGACTCGGGCAATCGGTATCATCCTCGGTTCAGAAAATCTTGCGAATTGCAATTAATTTCTGGGTCGAGGATGATACCGAGCTAATAGCTGCAAATTTTGAATTCTTTTTTATATTGATATTTTCTAATCATAGATCATAGCAAAGGTAAAGCAATGATTGCTTTACTGATATGGCATGAAGTGACCCTTCCGATTTATGTTTATGGATCCAAGCTTGCATCGGTTAGGTTTATTAAAGTGATAAGGAAATAATATTTCCCTTTTACTCTGTTATCCGTACATGGTCGGCAGACCTGCCATTCTTACATACGCTCTCTTATTATATCACATCACATTATCACTTGATGTATTTTATGACTAGATGCTCTTATAAATTTACAATCTACATATTGGGAATCTGTATTATAACGCAAGCTTGCATCTACCTTCGATTCCACGTTGAATCGTCTTTCTACTTAGGCGCCACCTTAGCAGCAGGAGCAGGAGCAGCAGCAGCAGCAGCAGCAGATATGGGCAGATATGGGCAGATATAAGCAGCAGCAGCACCAGCAGCAGATATGGGCAGATATGGGCAGATATGGGCAGCAGCAGCAGTTATGGGCAGATATGGGCAGCAGCAGCAGGAGCAGCAGATAAATAACTTTTTCCTTACCGAAAATGCAATCCGCAGCTTGGTTCATGAAAAACGGTAGCCAATGAGAGAGATCAGCTGGCACGAAGCGGCCGAGCCAATGAGCGGTCGAAGCCCAGTTCCACTGATTGGCTCGGCCAGCTGATCTCGCCTCTCATTGGTCAGTGCGGATTCCGCAGATCGGTATCTACTGTACAAATTCCATTACATAAATAGTATTATCTTAATCACAGATTTGAAATGTATCAGAATCCCGCTCGATCCCGCCCGACTCTTTCCGACCTGTCCCGAATATCGGAGTCCCGTACACGCCTGTCGATTTCGCATGGTATGTCCCTTTCAATTTATGTTTGCGGATTTTAAAAATACAAATGTTGATAATTGTAGAGAATGGAATGGTAAATATGGCTTTTAATTTTATATTACATTATAAAACTGAATTTATAATTTCAATTATTTTTAACTATAGTTTGTAAGCTAATAAGACAATATAATAATGAAAAGTTGAAAGAAGAGAATTTATTGCGTTAGTATGTATACAAATTTAATCGCAATTCCAAATGATGTATAGAACTGAATATTCTGGTCACGTATATGAATATGGACACTTGTAACTGCTAATCGTTCTCATACGTCCGAAAAAACAAACTAAAGGACTACTTGCATAAATAGGAAAATTACATATACAGATATATACAGACGCATACTGCCGATGAGCGAATAGGCATCTGACATAACCATAATCCAAAGTTCTGTGCATCTAGATTTAGGTTAGGATTATTAAAGTGATAGGGAAATAATTTTTTCTTTTATCTGTACATAGTTAATGGACCTGCCAGTCATACATATGCTTTCTTATTATATCATATCACGTTATCACTCGATGTATTTTACGACTATATAGTAACAAAATATAATCAAGTATAATTTAGTTTTCAGGGTTCACAATCTATTGGAAATCCATATTGTAACATAAGCTTGCAACTATGTACCTCCAATTCCACGCTGGCAGTCCTTCTACTTAGGCGTCACTTTATAAGCAATAAGTATAATGTGAAATTAACGATAAGATTTCTGGTATCGTGCCCTAGCACCTGGACCACCGAACTTCTTTGGTTCGCACCGCCTTGGATCAGCTACCATAAGAGTTCTGTCATATTGAATCAAGATATCCTTTACTTCTTTTTTACTTGCTTCGTCAACATCTAGAAGTAAAACTTAAATTATTAAACACGTATGTATTGTCGTTAATACTTTTAGAATTGTACTCACATTTTTGGTAATATGCAACCAAAGCTTTGGAAATAGCTTGCCGGATAGCATAAATTTGTGCAACATGTCCACCGCCATTTACTCTGACCCTAATGTCAACTCCGGCAAATTTTTCCTACAAAAATAGGATCTCTTCAATACTGACCGTTTTATGCGAACATATATTTTATGTACAAAGTGTAATATAATTTCTCAGAAATTTTTTGTTTAATCAAAAACAATCATATTCGACATAAGAGAGCATCATAGAAAGATTGACAACTAATTTTCTTGAATTTAAAGCAAAACGGAAAGTAGCTCCAAGCATGTAGGAGGTGAAAGTATTATTACATACTTTGCCTAACAGTAAAATGGGTTCCTGCAGTTTATATTGAAGTACACGCGGTTCAACTAATTCCAAAGGACGTCCATTTACACGGAGATTTCCGCGCCCTCGTTTGCAATACGCAACCGCAGTTGCGCTTTTCTGTAAATAGAAACAAAACACGCGTAAACATAACCTCACTTATTGTTTGGCAGCTTAACTCACTTTGCGTCCGAAGACCTGCACGGACTGGATCGGTTCCTTTTGTTTCTGTAATATGATTGATCACACATCATTTTTAAGTTATGAAATTATTGTTTAAAAGACAGTTACTCGAATAAGTTGCAACTTAGAAAACTCACCTTCTGCATTTTGAATAGCTCGTCGTGGAAAGGAAACGGAACAGAGGTAGCACGATGTTTTCGTCAGTGGTATAGTGAATCATACGTAGGTCTCAAAACGATATCCGTTTAATGGCGGAAAATTTGAATGTTTAAAGTATGTGAATACTGTGTGTGTGTGTGTGTACACACATAGTACAATAACAGAAAAATACCACTAAGTCAGCAGGTATTTGTTAAGCTTAAACGCGGTAGACTATAATATTTAAAAATGAAAATGATTAATTGTTACGATTTTATCGATTGCAATAGTAGTATGTATTCAATAGTATCAGTAAGTTTTCAAAGGACAATCCACATACAAGATAGTAAGAAGGCTTGCCTACGTATGGCAACGATTACATACCTGAGAAACTGTTCCCTGAAGTACAACTATTTTTGCATAAAATATATACAGGAGAACCTTTTCAACATTTTCGTAAATAAAAAATTTTTTTACCTTCAAATTATCACATTTTGTTCTATTTTGTGGTATGTATGTACCTTGACATAACACTGTTATAACCACGTGTGTGCTATTTTAACTTTATTTAAATCATTCTTATCGCTACGAAGCATTCAGCAAATATACTGCGTAAGAAAATGTATAAACGCGTTGTTGCATTGTTAATTCCAACTTCTTTGAGAATTCATTAGGGTATTGATCCTCTGTGTAAATTGTAACGTGTTCTAGTGAAGAAAATAAAGGCATCCGGGAATTGATTAGTTTGTTTGTTTAACGGGAAACATTTTTTACAGCTCTAACAATATTTTTGAAATGAGTCTATTTTTCGAAATCTTTCTTCTCAAAAATTAGTCTATTCAGCTTTGACGATCTCTAACCATTATTTACTCAAGGTATTAGCTGGCATATCCATTTTCATACGAATCTATTTCACATATGATAAACTGGAATTTGAACGAAAAGTTTTGTGTAATAACTGGCATACAATTGAAATAGTATGAATATCATAGTAAATTTGCAGAAAACATCTAAAAGTATTGTGACTAAGTGTAGCATTCTAGAAATTCTTCGATATTGTATTGTTTTCTTACTGATTTATTGTTATCGACACTTTCAATTGTGCAGATAAGCACTCTCGTTGTCTATTATCTTATTAACCACTAACAATTATTTTTTATCTGCACTAACTAATTGTAAGCCGTAAAGATTACTCTACTGACATATCGCTTTACACTAATTTTTTTATTTACTGACGGTAGTCCGTTAAAGATTATGTGTTACCAAGCATCCACTTTTTTCTTAATTTATTTCGATTTCTAAGCAATTACATTCAGCAATAAAATTAAAAATACTTTTATGGCATGAATTGTCTACAAATCTCCAGATTTTGTCTAATCGGTATCAAAATAATTTTAAAAAACTTTTCAAAGTTTCTCGCAACTGTTTCCCAGCAAATAATAAATTGCTACAAAAAAATAGAACAGTTAATAAATAGAACAGTTAAAGGACGGTTCATATCGTAATAATGATGCGATACAGGAATTTATTTCACGATATTTTTTTATTAAAACGTTTTTAAGTTACAAAATGTTCACATCACAAAAACTGTTCGGGTGTAACAATCGATTCATTTGAATTGCGCGGTTCAGTAGTACGTTGCTTTCTCTCTCTATGTACATAGTTGCTGCTGAGGGTAGCCGCTGCAGAAATGAGTCCACGCGAGCAGTGCAACTGGTGTGACTCAAATTGTCGTTTCACACTCTTGTTCGTTCAATAGTACAAGGTAGAGCAGTCATTGGGGTGGGGTCGCGAAAATACCCTCTGATGTTAGTTTTTAAAGTTGGTATGAGTTCGTGGTGGATTAGGCGGTATTTAAGACACGCTAGATACACGGCCCCTCAGAACATCGTTCATGATAGTTAAAAGAGGATACTTCTTCCCAGAATTGCCACGGAAATCGTCAGTTTCGACGCTCCACATCATAGCACCGGCGAGTCCTAGATGATTAATGTACTCGCACTTCTCACGAACGGATCTGAGAACGAACGTAAATACGTGAGATTAAAAGGCATAAAGGTTTCGCATTAGAAGGTGTCCGATAAGTGGTTATTACAGTTTGCCATTGAGCAAACTAGCACCTACTCGACATCATCGTATCCAACCCACTGGTTGCCCTTGACAGCATAAGGCACACGCTGCTGGGGTTCTCTACGAACGTTCCAACTCCCTTGGCGAATAAATTCGCAAATTTCGTTGTAGCCGAGCATGCCCGCCTCTCTGGTGTATGGGCCAGCAGTTCCGGGACCAGCCGCTGGAGCGCCTATATCGTTGTTGTCAGCGTTCGCCAGAGTGAAGGTTCTTCCATAGGATGGAATACCAAGAACGATCTTGTCAGCGGGAGCACCTTGAGAGAGCCAGTAATGGACGGAAGCGTCCTAGAATAATACAGAACAATTCAACCATCAAGACCGAGAGATCGTACATAAATAATGAAGTACACCAATAGCCATTTGTGCACTTACAACGTTGAGTTTAGCTTGCTCTCCTTTTTCCCGAGTAGCAGCATAGAGAGGGGCATTGAGGCCAACCCAATTGTTCCAGGATCCGTTCATGTCATAGGTCATCAAGTTGATGAAGTGAACATACTGAGCCACTTGATTAATGATATAGGACTGAGAAGCAGACTTCTCGGCGGCGCCAACGGCCACGCTGAGGGTGTAACCGTGGCTATCGAAAGCCTGTCTCAGCTCCCTCAACAGAGCCACAAAGTTCTCTCGGTCGCTCCATTGGCCACCGCGCTGGTTAGGATACTCCCAGTCGACGTCGAAACCGTCGAACTTGTACCGTTGCAGGAAACTGACCACGTTCCGAACGAACTGGGACCGGAGTCCCGGGTTGCCAACTACCTGGGAATACTTGGCAGAACCCTCGTTCCAGCCACCGATCGCGATCATAGCTTTGGCACCGCCCTGTTTGCTGCGAGCGACGAACTTGCCGAAGCCGTCTTTGCCTCCGCCGTCAGGCAAATCGGCCCAAGGGTCCATGATCTTAATGGTACCATCCGTGTTAAGACCAACGAAACTGTAGATCATGTGCGTGCAAAGGCTCGGGTCGATGTCCTTTATCTCAATCTTCCCGTTCCCTGGTCGATAGACGGTCCAGCTACCGAAGTAGCAAACGATCTTCTCTAGATAAGGAGAGTGCATTGTATTCTATACGCAATTGGCGTCAGGGGTATCGTTCACGGAAGAATGCACTGATAGCTAATCGACAAGGTTGATAGGTTTTGTTCTTCAGTATTACCAAGAATAAAGTGATACTTACTTTCTGCTTGAACATTGACCGCGACCGTGGACATGACGGCGACTAAGGCATCACCTTGAATACTTGGAATCGAGAGATCTGTGCCTTAACTCTTTATCTACCGATAGCTGTGTGACTCGATAACACGGACTTATTTTGAGTAAAGTTTGTCCGGCGGCATGTAAAAAGCATCTAGAGAACGGTACCGGTTTAGATTTATAGCGATCGCGGAACGCCAATGTCGAATGACCAACGTAATACTGTATTTATAAGTTATGACTTATTCGATGATCAATTCTTTATTTAATCGTCGCCAGTCGAAATATATTATGTTCACACGATGAGACCGTGGTCCTTCTGACGCGACATGAATTCAGAAACGTTCGGACACTGTCGGAAACGTTCGGATTATTGTCAGTAAAGGAAAAGGAGACTACGAGTTTGCATAATCATAAATGTGTATACCGAATAGTCTATCTCCAGGCGCGACCCATTCCGACTGCAGAGTTTCTGCTTCAGAGTTTCGTCAATTCATATCAATTGGCAATATAACAAATTAATTAATGAAATTAGATTCATATATGTTATACATACGTACACGTACGTATACATAATTATAGGGGATGCTCGAGTAATCGGCATTGTTTGATTCTAATTAATTAGATACTAATTATATATAATATTATATACTTCTCTGACACTAATATATATACTAATAATACTAATACTAACTACTAATAATACTATAATAATAATACAAATACTAACGTAATATACTAATATATATATATCGTGTACATGTTGCTGACGAACATTTTCTCGACCTACTCAAAATGTACATCGTTCTGACACTTCTATCAGGCCGTTTCTTCTTCAGAAATGTCTATAGAATTCGATCCTGGGTAGAGTTTTCGTGCTGAACAAAGAACTTTTCGTAAAAATACAAAAACATTGCGGAGAAACTGCGCACGTCGACACTTTTTTAAACTTTGACATCAATTCATTGCTATTTAGGACCAAAAACAATTAATAAATTGCATGCCACTATATTCGGGAAACTCACCTCTATCTTTTAACACCAATTAGAACTTCCTAACGTTTTTACTTTTCATGCGATACCTCATTTTTGTCGAAAATTTTGGGTTTTTACAAAAGTTCGTTTATTTAAAAAACTGAGGGTGATGGAGCAATTCGGTTTTCGGATTCTTGTTCAGGG